CATATAATTCTCAAGCAAAGTTTATTATACGCACGAGAGTCTATATGTTGGCAAATTCCCAAAAGTGGTGTTATATGTTGCGAATAAACTATGAAACATTCGGTTACTGTTTGTTTAAAAGTGTTATATACATATATATATTTCCACATCGAGATTAGATGCATTTGGGAATTCTTTCGAAACACTTAAAATGCATGTAGGAATTATATTTTTACTCTAAAATGTTCTCATATGTTAATTAGTAATTTCCAAACTGTTTGTACATTTGAAGTTACAGAAATGTTTACGTGTTTACAATTTCATCGTTTAATTGTGCTGTAATCGAGTTCGTAATTTTCGCAAATGAGTTTACGCAATTAAGAAGCTCCGCTATTAACAAATGTTATATTAATCGTATCTATTTCGTGATATACTCTCTGTCTCTCCATTTTTCAATAATATTATTAGAGACTTATATATATTATTTTAATTGTAAACTTAATACATATTCATATTTATTATATGTAGATTTCGAAAAGAAATAATTCTTATCTTTTGGTATAAATTATAACGTTTTTTTAATTCTCCGTTTTTCTGTAGTACAAATCTTATTATTAGAAAATAAAAGAACGATTATTCGGTATATTAACGAACGAATAAATGTCACTGTTTTTTATTGAAATTTTGGCACAAAAATTCTAGTGAAAATTTCTCGGAAAAATAAATTTTATTAACTTTTTCTATTTCCTTTTTTTGAAATTATACTAAATACAAAAGTATATCTATAATAAATAAAAGCTCTCGAAAAGCGTTAAAATCCTAACATAAAAGGTAAATGAAATAAACAAAGAGCAAAAGGATTTCTTCATTACGATTTGTCTTAAAAATACGGTATCTCCATTCTGACAGAACTTAATCCCTTTATTGTCCGCTCATGTTTTTCTCTCTTTTACAGCTTATATCTAGTTGTATTGTTTGGTAGAATGCATGATATATTCTCTTTTTAGCTCTTTCTGTTATTTGTATGCGTGTGTACACTTTATCCTTCGGCGTCATTCCATATCGCACATTTATTTTTGAAAAGAGAAGAAACGCCTCGCTCTCTTATATATGCAGAGCAAATACTTTGATTTATTACTATGAATATTAAACATTTTTTATCGCTGTATGTCGTAAAAAATTATTGCCGCTTTTTGAAAGTGGCAACAACATCATGAAAAAATATTTAACTCTCTCGAATATATAAAAACATTCACATTTTTAAACTAAAATTATAAATATAATTTATATATGTATATAATTCTAATAAATAAGTTATAAATTATAAATCGAATTTCTAATAAATATAAATTATAAATAGAATTTACATTTATATAATTAATTATATATATAATGAATTAAATTATCGCATTGATCGTGGATTAATTATGATGATCTCATCCAACTATGTAAAAATATAAACTTTAAATCGCAGAGTAGAATAAAAATTGAGAGATATTCCTAGATCTTTTGGATTTCTCGCGAGAAGAAATATTTCAGACAATTAAACGAATCTGCTTTGAAAACGTAGTGTAATAATTTTCATCTTCTAATCTTAAAGTTTACCACGCGTGGTAAAACACGCCTTTAGCTCTCTCGCCTTTTAATTAAAAGCCGTTTATCTCTCGCTCATAAAAGAAACTTTTGACATGCGAAGATAATATTTTGAATGTTAGAAGAGTGATTGTGTAAAATACGAAGATGTATATAAATGTCATTAAAATGTGTTTGGGATAAATCGCAACGAAATATATAAAGAACAGCTTTAGCAAGCAAGTGCGACTAAATTGCTCGAATAATTAAAGCACATTAAACGTTGTACGATATTTAGAGCTTGTATTTAGTGACTAAACGAAGCTATTTGCTTCTGAGTCTCAATGGCATGATTACAGACAGAAGTTCGATCGCACAAAAAAAGATCTCATATCTAATTGATGCGGCGAAAAAGATACGTAATAAAAAAAGAATTTCGAAATTTATTAAAAATTAATTTTTTCTTCATATTGTTTGTTTATACATTGATATTATAATAATATTGCTCTGGAATAAATTATAAACATTTGTTTACTGATGACAGTTTCTATGCCGGTAATGTAATTAATGTAATAATAAAGTTGACTTTGTTAATGTGAAATTAATTTTTATTTTCTCCGTTTCTCTCTTTGACACGGAAAAAGAGAGAAACTTTTGTTTTACTCGTCTATATTTTATAATTAAATTAATTACATTATACACACGACAAGAAAGGAACTAATTATTTTCCTTTATTTTACTTTCTGATTCTATGACATTTATATTGACTCGATTCAAACATAAATATTATATATATATTAGATAGTAGATTGATAATTATTATAAATAGATAAATTTACTCGCGAACAATTAAAAATAAGAAAGCTTAAATTCTCTTTCAGAAGAAAATAACTAGAAAGTAGCACGTGTTAAAATATTGATATAAGGCTGCCGGCTGCCTGTTACATGCATATATTGTTCAGCAAAAGAGAGAAAAATCTTTCATATATCAGGAAAAAAAACAACTATGTTTCCTTTTCAAGGCGCCTTTTCTTTGAAACCCTTCTACACGATTTCAAAGACAGTCGCGCGCCCGAGGGGCCACGAGAGGTTTCCGCATCGCGCATGTGTAAGCAGCGGAAATCCGGAGTTTCGCGCACTGAAAAAGGAACGGGGCAAAGAATGCATATGACGGTCAACTTTTTTCATTAAACAAAGCCGATGCATTCTACGCGCGCGTGTCTCTCTTCTCGTGAATTACGCGCTAACGCTTTTAGTAGTTGCGTCACGTTGCGAGAGTTGCGAAGTCGGAACAAATTGTTGGCTGCATCACTTAAGTTTCAAGGAGACGCTGACGTCTCTTCGTAGGACACTCGAATATTTTTCAGTCTAACAAATCATGGCTACGCTGGACAAAAATTTGTTAACTCGACTGAATCTTTGACTAAATATTGGTTTGTTAACTGAACATATAAAAATATTTAATTTAAATATAATATAATATAGATATTTGCGAATTAGAAAAAAAATTTTTTTGTTATTTAGAATCATATGGTAGATCATCAAAAAATTTTCAAGTAACTATTCTTGCTTTTTATTTCACGTTTTTATAATTTAATTTTAACTAAATATTTTATTAATTGAACATATAAAAATGCGAAGTCGGAACAAATTGTTGGCTGCATCACTTAAGTTTCAAGGAGACGCTGACGTCTCTTCGTAGGACACTCGAATATTTTTCAGTCTAACAAATCATGGCTACGCTGGACAAAAATTTGTTAACTCGACTGAATCTTTGACTAAATATTGGTTTGTTAACTGAACATATAAAAAAATTTAATTTAAATATAATATAATATAGATATTTGCGAATTAGAAAAAAAATTTTTTTTTATTTAGAATCATATGGTAGATCATCAAAAAATTTTCAAGTAACTATTCTTGCTTTTTATTTCACGTTTTTATAATTTAATTTTAACTAAATATTTTATTAATTGAACATATAAAAATGCGAAGTCGGAACAAATTGTTGGCTGCATCACTTAAGTTTCAAGGAGACGCTGACGTCTCTTCGTAGGACACTCGAATATTTTTCAGTCTAACAAATCATGGCTACGCTGGACAAAAATTTGTTAACTCGACTGAATCTTTGACTAAATATTGGTTTGTTAACTGAACATATAAAAATATTTAATTTAAATATAATATAATATAGATATTTGCGAATTAGAAAAAAATTTTTTTGTTATTTAGAATCATATGGTAGATCATCAAAAAATTATCAAGTAACTATTCTTGCTTTTTATTTCACGTTTTTATAATTTAATTTTAACTAAATATTTTATTAATTGAACATATAAAAATGCGAAGTCGGAACAAATTGTTGGCTGCATCACTTAAGTTTCAAGGAGACGCTGACGTCTCTTCGTAGGACACTCGAATATTTTTCAGCCTAACAAATCATGGCTACGCTGGACAAAAATTTGTTAACTCGATTGAACCTTCGACTAAATATTATTTTGTTAACTGAACATATAAAAATATTTTAATTAAATACAATATAATATATTAAATCAACTAAATATTATTTTGTTACAGTAAAAATGTATAGTTCTTATCGCCAGGAATAATGAAAATTATAAATCAATGTAATAACAACAACACTGGCTTAGAAATATGATGTTGATTTATTTTAACGTTTCGACCATATGGGATGTAGTCCTTTTCAAAATTACATTTAGATGGATACAGTATTACATCCTAATCGTGTGAAATTATTAATACTTAAAATATGATAATGTCACTTTTATAAAGGAGAGTGCCGAATTATAAAAGTGACACATCATGTTTTAAGTATTAATAATTTCACACGATTAGAACGGTGTAATATTGTATCCATCTAAATGTAATTTTGAAAAGGACCATATCCCATATGGTCGAAACGTTAAAATAAATCAACATCATATTTCTAAGCCAGTGTTGTCGTTATTACATTGATTTATAATTATTTTGTTAATTGAACATATAAAAATATTTAAATTAAATATAATATTAAATATAATATTATATTTGCGGATTAGAAAAATACTTTAGCAGATGGCTAAAGAGAAGAATTTGTTCTATTATTTATTTTATTATTTTTATTATTTTATTATTTTATTACTTTTATTACTTTATTATTTATTAATAAAATATTATTTGGGACAATATTAATATGTCGATATTAAAGCTATTATATGATCATAGATCATCAAAAAAATTTCAAGTAACAATTCTTGCTTTTCATTCCAGGTTTTTATAATTTCATTTATGTGTGTAATTCAAAATATTCATATTTTTATCTTTAAATATTACAAATACTTTGGGTGATCTTGATATAGTTTGAATTGTATGTTCGTATTAATATTATCAAATAGCTACATTTTTATAAAGAGTCTTTCATTTAACAAATATATATATTTTTGTTTCAGGAACGTACTTTATTCTGTACGATTTTATTGACTTCTTCGAGAAAGATCAAGCCAGTTTTCTCGAACGAGACAAATTTCTCAACATCATCAATACAATCTTCAAGAATATGTCGCAAATTGAGCGGGAAGCCATCATTTTCCAAGTAAGTTTCGCTATGTATTTTTTTTGCATTGCATCATATATGACAAGTTCAACTATAAAGACAATGCATATAATTAAAATTTGAAAATAAAATGAATAAAAAGTTATATTTATTAAAATTATTTTTCTCAATAATAGATTTTTAAAATTATTGTTTTCTCATTAAGAATGTTGAGAGTGACTTTCATTTGTTGCATTTCTCCTCAGCAGATATTTAACATTAAATTATAATATATTTAATATATTTCTAAAAATTACAATTCTATTTCGCAATTCTCTTAGATTCTCGTAGTTTCTTATAAAACTTAAACATTTTTTCTATATACGTTTTAACAGTGAAAGGTAATATCACGTATACGAGCTGGGATAACTCTAATAAAAAATTAAACGCGCATAATTAAAGTAAAGGAATCTCAACACATTAAGAATGCATTTTTTCAACTTTAATCACTGATTAACGAGTCGCCAAAGAAAGAAAGAAATTTTATTTATATTTATTACGTTTACTTATACGAACAGAATTTGTATTATAAATTTTGAAAATCAAAATGTCTCGCGGGAGATTAAGATAGACCATCCGAATGACGTTTCTCAGAAATGTACGTATATACGTCAAGCAGAAGGCACTGCGACACATTGCGACCCACATTTTTTATCACTCAACGAGACTTGGGCTACATTCACTTTCAGCCCCAAGCGCTCTTCTTGTTAGCCAACTTGAACTTGCAATTGTCGCTAAATCACTTCGGGCTTTCTTTCGACAGCATGAAAGAACAAGCGAGCTATATATTAGATGTCAATTTGACCTCTTACAGTTTGCTGGGAATACACATATGAAATATAAGACAAACGATATGTCTTTGTAATTACAAAATGCAATAATTATAGTAATTGATTTATTATGTAAATCGTATTAAAAATTTGTTGAAGCTCAGAAATCACATACGAAGAACTATATAATATTTTAAGAAAACAAATATACATATAGATGTAATCGAGTTTTTCTCTTAACATTAATTCATTTTTTTTTTAATTATAACAATTAAAATATATAATAAATATTATAATAAATAAAATTTACTTTAGTTCTATAAATAATACAAACTTGACAAACGATGTCTTGTAATTACAAAATGTACTAATTATAGTAATTGATTTATTATCTAAATCAAAAAAATTGATGAAGATCAGAAATTATATTTGGTTTTTCTTTTAAAATTAATTCATCGTTTTTGAAAAAATTATAATAATTAAAATATACGATCAATATTTATTATATATATACAATAACTAAAATTCACTCTCTAATTCTATAAACAAATATATCAAATTACACTCTATATTTTTTTAAATATCCACATAGATAGATTGTAAAAAAATATAATAATATAAGTAGTAGAACATGTGTGCGAAAATTCTTTAACAATTTACAATGGCACAATATTTATTTCTGTATAAATAAAAGTTACGTACCACGTAGTATCGAAACACAATTTCAGTTTTAACTCGTCGATCTTTGGCCCGCTTATTTATGCATTAAAACTGCGTGCCTCTTTCTCTCTCACTACATATACACACATACACATACATACATACATGCATATATATATATATGTGTGTATGTATGTATATATATGTATGCGTTTGCGCGCGTAGCTTAAAAATGCGCACCGGCGTCAGTTTGTTGTACTATAAAGGATTGGCCACGATTATATTATATTAAACGTGCATTTTTCTCACTGGAAGCGTATCGCGTCGGATCCGGATGGGCGCAGTGTGAAAAACCGTTAATTGGAACGCCTACCCGCCATTCTTTTATCTCCTTTTCCGCAGCTTTTTCCGCGCGCTTTTATCTTTTTTTTTGCGCGCGCGCACGTTGATTTCCACGAACCAGAGACAGTGGCCCCGTGTAATTGCGATTATAACAAACCGCAATTTTTCCTAATCAAAAAAAAAAAAATTGCCCTATCGATCAAATTCCCATTTCATGCGAGGGAAGAAATACTTATTGATCCGTTAGCGCTCGATGACGGCAGAACAAACGTAAATTAAGCTACTATTTTGTCGTTCGTTATATACGCGTGAATTATTTTGAATGGGACAAAATATTTCGATGAAAAACACATTTGCATAAAGATTTTTTTACAAATCGATTTTTATTTTAAAAAATTATGCCATTTATTATATTAAACGCGCATGTAAACTTTTTTATATATACTTGCGTATTAATTTATCTTTATTAAATTCATTCATTCCTCGTCCGCTGTTTTAATTGCTTTATCATAATCGTATCGTCTTTCTCTTACAAGTTCAAATTTATGAATTTATTCTAATGAAATTTGCGCTAATGTAATTTCGCGCGGACGATGCACAAAGTTTTATTACATTTCTTCTAAAGCTAACATATATCCGGAAGTGTAATATCTCTGTCGGAAATATCTGTTTTGCGAAAATTCACCGTGTTGTGCAGTTGTGCTTCTTGACTGATTTATGGAATACCCATATGCAGTTTCCAACGGCATCTCCTTATTTTTCTGGAATGTGTTATAACCATTCTGCAGATACGTAATCACGTTGTATAAAGAAGATAAGAAAAAAGCGGAAAGCAAACAAAAGAAATTCATATAGCGCAGAACGTTATTGGTAATCAACGATTTATTAACGTGTTTTTTCATCGAAAGTCATTGCGTAAATTAAGTTTCTCGCGAAATGAAAATTATTTTTGCATACGAATGATATTTGTTATTCCGATGTACGCTCGAGTTTGTATATGTATGTATTGTATATACAGCGAATGGAAAGTAATGTATTTACCATGTAAAGTTCAATCCTTCCGTTCTCGTTGCACATAAAAAATGCATTAGAGAGGACACATCGCGTTTTTCTCTCAGATATAAATTTCTTACGTATGTATTCAATGATATAAATGATTTAAAATCGCTATCAATTTTTTATTAGTTTTTAACAGGAAATATCTCTGTAATATTACGTTAAATCGAAATTTTATTCAAAAGATGGTTGCTTAAAAATTACTAAAACTTTTATTAATTTATTGATTTATTATAAACACAGTTAGTGTCTTTCGAAAGGTCACATACAGAGATGGATCGGATATTTATATGAGAGTCGCCTAGTTGAGAATATTTAGATTGTCAGCTTTCAATAATTCAGTCGAGTTCTCTAATTAAATTCAATCGATAACTTGCATCTTGATTTTATAAGAAAAAAGCATATTTATTATTACTTTACCTATACTATATAAACAGAGATATTATGGGATGAAATCCTAACGTAGAATTCTCAATTTTTAAAATTGTCATTGGAAAAAGTTATAATTAAAATAATCTTTATTTAAAATATCAAAAGTTAATGGGTAGAATAATCCAGTACAATAAATAGATGCGATAAATTGATATAATAGCATTATTTGATTTACTGCGTGCATTGCATATGTATCAAAATATTGTTGAGTAATAATTGTCACGTATATTGTATTTTAATTTAAATTAAAATTAAATATCTGGCTATTTATAATGATAACTTTTTACTACCATATATAGCTGTCAAAATATTAGTTTATTAGCATATAAAATATGTTCTGCAACAATTCCCACATAATATACTGAATTTTAATTAAATAATAAAATATCTGGTTTTTATATATGTTTTAAATATAGAATTTTTATATTGTTTGTGCACACATACGTATCATTAGAAATGATAAGATTAATCAACAATAAAAAATTTAATGCAAATAAGAGCTCGCGCGGTGGTGCAATAATAAAAAATAACATTAAACTGTCACAACAAATGTAGCAGAGTCAAGATTCTTTGCAAGTCTTTTTTGCTATTAATTAATTTTATTACTTTTAATATATGTGATAATGTTTTTAGAAATTCCTAATTTAAAAAATGTGTATATATTTTATGTGTTTATATTTTTATGGAAATTTTATAATTATAATAAAATATGAAATACAAATAACAAAATGAACAGACTGATATATAAATACGAAGTGTCAGGTAGGAAATGAGAACTAATAAGAACCAAGTGCAAAAAAGTAGGTGCAAAAACTTTCTTATAATCTTCTTTAATTAATCTTCCTTAATTTGAACGCTTCGATCCTTCTTTTGATCCATCTACAGCAGACTAATTGACATACAAATTATAGGAAAAGTTCAAGCATTTTATTATCCTCCATAGATTTTAAAATATAAAAATTTAACAATAATTTTTTCTATTTTTGGATGTAGAACATGATAAACATTATTTATCTTGAAAAGTGTTATAATAACATATATAATTAATATTTCAGCAACATAAAATTATCTTGCATACACCATATAACTTTAGACAAGTATCCAATTGCATTATAATATATAAATAATCGTATACATACATTAGATATAATTATATGCAATATTTAGAACCAATTTCGAAAACCAGTTTAACCTTTTTAAAGAAATAAATAAAATGCTATTTTTATATACATACATAAATTAAAATAATGAATTAAATTAATGGATCTAATTAAAATATGTTTTATTAAAGTATACACACACACACATAACTTTAGGTTTAATTTATAACAATCAAAAATAGTAATAGGTTTTTATGTTACATCAATTACCCAATTTTGATCACAAGAGGAAGATGAAAAACAACGCAAATCCGAATTTGTTCGCGCAAAATTTTGTACAAAACAAACGATGCAATATTTTGCAACGACACAATTGTAGGCTCTGCCGCGATACTTCTAACAGATTTTCTAGTGCGTATAACACGGAGACCGAGTTACACTCACGGAGAAAATCGATATCGTTATGTACCGGGATAATGTCACTCTTCAAAGAGAGCTCCGTTCTGCTGGCCGACCGCTAATTACTTTCCGATCAGCAGAACGGCATGTCAAAGTTCCTTTGTCAAGAGCCGTTTCATGGCTGTGTGAAACCTCGAGTTCCGTATATACATTTCATTAAGTATCTGGGAACAAGACGCCGCGAACGAGGAGAGAAGCCTTACGTTTACGGCGACATACATAATACATGTATATAGGGTGTATTCAGAACTGGCGGGAAAGTTTTTAATGTCAGATTCCTGCTATTATTCGGAGACGATTTTTCCATAATGAAAATGTTGAAGGCCATCATTTTTAGCATGTTCCCAATTTTTGCTATTATCACACATATTATTAATATATATCTTAATAACTAACAAAGCGTTATATTAAAATTCTATTAAAGTAAACTTCACCGAAAATTAACTGAAGAATGTAGTTCTGTTGATATTTTATTTTCACAAGGCTTATTGTTAGTTAGTAGATTTTTTCTTGGTGAAAATGTTGAAGGAAACCATCATTTTTGGCAATTTTTGTTGTTATATATCTTTATAACTAAGCCTTATATTAAAATTCTATTAAAGTAAACTCCACTGAAAATTAATTGAAGAATGTAGTTCTGTTAATATTTTATTTCCACAAGGCTTATTGTTAGTTAGTAGATTTTTTCTTGGTGAAAATGTTGAAGGAAACCATCATTTTTGGCAATTTTTGTTGTTATATATCTTTATAACTAAGCCTTATATTAAAATTCTATTAAAGCAAACTCAACCAAAAATTAACTGAAGAATATAGTTTCGTTAATATTTTATTTCCACAAGGCTTAGTTTCCAAAAAAAGCTTTTTATTTTCAACTGCTTATAATTTGAAAATTATTGGTGTCTCGACATTTTGGCTGCGGAAAAATCGTCTCCGAATGATATCAAGAATCTGCCGTTGAAAACTATTTCGCCAGTTCTGAAACACCCTGTATACTATATACGGTAAGCGTAAAGATCGTCAGGGACTCTTGTGTCTTTGATATATTCATTGCTGATTCGCCCACGCGCGAGTAATCGAACGAAATGAATTCGTAAAAAGCGCGCGCATTTTTTACCGAATGGAAGAAAATCAATGATACAAAGCTATAACTACCTCCCAGTAATATCTTTTGACCCACGAGCTATGCGCGAGAGAACATTGCGCTCGGGGAAAAAATTATTTCCTCTCAACACAATAGCGCGAAAGGGCGGAGAAAATAAGCCCCAAAAATCCAGCAGCATCTAGAAAAGGAGATGTTTAATTTGCATGATCAGGTCTCATTTGAATTTTTTTTTTCTTAATTAACACTCAGCCTGATCATACTTTGAAATTACAGATTAAGATTTAAATGATTTTAGGAGGAATGGTTTCACAATAGTGACTTTTGCGATGACAATTATTGTTATATAATTAACAGGAAAATAAAATTGTATTTTATAATGTAATACTTTCAGAATTTTGTCAAAATAAATAAGTTGAATAAAAATAATCTGTAATTCTTGTGTTTATAAATTTGGTGGGATTTGTTGAAAATTTTTCGATCTTGTCGAAAATTTTGGAAATAGATACTCTTTCCAAAATAGAGTAGTAAAAACTAACCGAATTTAAATCTATTTGCTTAAAATAATATTTTTGGACTGTAATTGGCGATCTTTAATAGAAATTTGCCCGGATTTCTGTTTCAGTACACTGATTGGGATCAGATAAACGATGGCTACAAGAATCAAAAAGCGGTAGCTGATGTGGTGGGTGATTATTTCTTCATTTGCCCATCCACGCATTTCGCGCAATTGTTCGCAGATCGTGGCATGAAGGTCTACTATTACTTCTTTACGCAGGTAAGATTATACTGTTATTTTTGCTAGGCTAGGCGTGAATCATTAAAAACGTTTCCCTCGTCAAATGTCAATTGCCAGTTGATAAGCTATCATTAATGCATTATATATAGCGTTGAGCTATTTCTGACTGTCGTGAAAATTTATCTTCGTAATTTATTAAACAAGTAAAAAAACTTTTTTGCATTTTAATCTGTGTATGTGTGTGAGTAGAGTTTCTCACATAGTAGCTAGTACATAATTTATAAGACACTCTGTATACGTGCAGACGAATATAGTAGCGAATTCTTTTTTTTTAGACCATTTATAGCAATCTTGAAATTAATATTTAAGTATTTTCTTATATTATTTATTGATCAATATATTTTGATATGATTGATAATAATATTTTGTATCTAACTGTATAAATTGTTTGATATAAATTTTTAGTAGATTTTCGATTAGTAATTTGTTAGTTTTTACATTTTTTTTAGTTTTTTAAATATTAAACTTTTATTAATCCTAAATAATAATTTTATCAAAATTAACTTTTCGGAGATTATCTAAGAATTATAATACAATTGTGAATGAAAGTATAGAATTTATCAAACATTCTATAAAATTACGAAACTTTACACAAAGATATAATAATACCAATTTATTTGTTTGAAATAAAAAAAGAGAAAGTCAAAACAAATAATAATATTTCTAAAAAATATAAAAACAATTCCTTTAATAGCCAATATTTCTTTAACATCTTTAATTTTATTAAATCGTATAATAAAATTAAATTATACGAGAAATTGAAAAATGACTACGTGTATGGATAAATCTCTCATCGCCTCGAACATTATTACCTCGAAGTTACGTATGCTCGATACAATGTGATTGTTATATATACCGAGCTTGTGTGTGCTGCTATTCTCCCTAAAGTAGGTCCGAAGAAACGGAGTTTACAAGACCGGGAAATTACCGCAAAAGTATTATGTAAATTGGATTCTAAGCCGCTTGCATAATGCTACAAGAAAATTTCGTGATGGAAAATAGCCGAGGGGGGAAAACAGAACGGAAAAATAAAAAGCGGTAAACTTTTCGGAATTAAACGTTGCTGAATGGTGGTTGAAATGACGGTGACGTATAATAAGGGAAACATTTATCCGAGTGCAACATGTGTTACACAGTAGGAAAATTTGTGTTTATTGTTAGAAATCCTGTGAAACTTTTTGCGTTAAATTTTAAACACATTCATGTGTTAATTTAACATATTACTGTTGTGTTAATTGAACTTAAATGTTAAATTATTAAAACAACTGAAAAAAGATGTAAAAATAACACAATCTGCATCTATTTTTAATTTTACATAATAAATATGTTCTGTTTTATTAGTGACAAGATTTACCTGTTAAAATTTACAGAAAAAATATTGATTTTGTATTTTATAATATAAGTAGGGATGATAAAATCTAAAATCGACATATTTTTTGTTAATTTTTACATTAAAACTGTTAATTCTACACAGAATTTATTTTGAAATTTTGCATTTATTTTGTGTTAAAATATTAACACAGTATTTGTGTCTCCATTTATAACATATATCCGTATTATGTTAATTTAACACAAAAATTTCTGTGGACCATTTGGAACATGTGATGTCTGTTTTTAACAGCAATTTTTCAACAGTGTATTAATATATTTCTCTTTTTTTCTAATAATGCGGTATTTACTGGTGACGTCAATCAATCATCGGCGCGCCACCTGTCGTCGTGATAAAGTGTCGGAGCGAAAATTCGGATGGCGAATAATAACTAGACGTCTCTCCGCGCGCTTTGCAATATCAATCACGTGCGCGCGTGATTTATTTCGCCATTTTAACGGAACCGTGATTTCGTCGGGTGTAATTACAGGGGAGGACAATGCGTTCTCCGCAATGTCATTGGAGTGTATAATGTTTAGATCTAGAACGCGAGGGACCAAATTGTGCGCATTCATTCAACACTATATAATTATCGAATCGTCCTCCCTCTCACGACCATCCTATGAAATTATATAAATGCAAACTCATGCGAGAGAGCATTACAGACTGCGTACATGTGAACGGTTATACCGTATCGCGTTTGCCATACCTGTTCCTACTGTCATGTTCAGCTCTTTATCGCCGCTTATCTCGCTCACGAAATCTCCGCCGTCGAAAACTTGTTGATTCTTATACATCGAAATTGTAGGATCGTTTAGAACATTGTGAATATCAAATGTTTTCGACTTTGCCGCTCGAAGATTTTATTTGGATATATCATTTTCTTCCTCATTTTTTGACAATTTTAATATTTGCCGTGTTTTAGCTCTGTAATTTATATTATTTTAATTATTTTTATATGAAGCTATCGTGAAACGTAAAAAATTCCAAACATATGTATGTTTTATTAAACTAGATTTTCCTTAAAATATTTTTTTTCTTACAAAAATATTTTTAAAGTAAATCATATTTATTTAATGTCTTATCAAAAATGCATTAAATATCTTGATATACAATAAAATTTTAAATAAAATGCATTAACGCATTTTAGATAATGCAAAGATTTTATGCATGTTTTCCTAAATATTAATTTGGTAGAATACTTTAACTTTCCATATCGAATAAAAATTCTTCAATAGACTTATTTATTAACATTATTTATTATGCGGGCTTTTTGATGAATTCCGTCTTTTTTTCTTCTTGATAAAAAATTTCACTAATTAATATCAGAACGAATAAATAATAGAGCATTTTTTTAATCGATGAAATCGACGCGCGATTTATCACTGACTCAAATGATAAGCGATCTCTGGCCAAAGGCCAAATCCTCTTTCTCTCTCTTTCCCTCCTTTTCTATCTCCTTTTTTCTCTCAGTATTCAAGTTGAAAAGTGACTCCATATGTCTTAAAAAACGCGAACTAAAATTGAAATGAATTACAAACTGACATTTGAGCTTTACTTCCGTATTTATGATCCTTACAAAGTTAGTGGATTCTCAAAGTGTCCAAAGTTTGCCGATTTTAAGATTTAACCGAGCTATATTTTATGCATTACATATATGATATGATTCTGAAATATTTAAACAAGCGTTTCAAAAGTCCTGCATCAAAGCACATAAATTTGTATCAACATAGTATATCAGCTTAATTTTTCTAAGATATAGCTTAATATATAAAACTCTTGAGTCTCATTTTTAATGTTATTAGCAAAATGCAAGAGAGGAGAAAATTGTGAAAGCTACTGTATAATACTTGAAAAGTTTATTCAGTTTGTTATAAATAGTTAGTATATAAACTGTACTTTTTAATAATTAGTTTACACAGTTTTAAAATTTTTATAAATACATTTTGAATATATTTGATCGATATATTACTTCTATTAAATTTCTTGGCTATGTATAGTTTTAGCTACATGCATTTTATTAATATTAATATTCTGTTTATCTCGACTGTATAATGTGAAACACTTAACTGTCTTTAGAATTAGCAAGAAATTGTTACAGATTTATTAATATTACTAAAACAAAGGCATCACACGTTAATAAAACTTTATACAAAATACAATTTTTTTCTTTTTATTGTTAAATAAACTACACATGCGCATAAAATATATTTTTTTCAATCTCATTGAATTAGCAATTAAGAGCCATAATTATTTTCGGCGATAATTCGAAATATTTCTTTTTCAATTGTTTTCATAAATTCCGAAATTACATAAATCCTCAAATTACATTACCTAATGACTCCTTGATCCTCGTTTAGTAAATGCAAAGCGTTCGTGATATTTCTGAATGTCGTGAACGTTCGTTGAAAATTATTTAAGTCCGACGATTCATTTTTGCGGTTGACACCCTCGTAAGGATGCTAGAAGCCATTGTGGGAAAGAAATAGAGGAAAGAGAGATAGAGAGAGAGAGAACGAAGAACAGTAAAAGAGGCGAAATTGCAGAGGAAGAATGGAATGGGATAATGCTTGTAGAATTTAAGGAACGTGAGAGATTAACGATGAAAGTAATGATGATTTACTTTCTTTTGCTTCATTTAACACTGTCAATTCTTTCGTTTGTATTATTGACCTACTGAAGAAGCTTCAAATGTCTGTTACATTTATCGTCAATAATTCTTCGAAAAGTTCATTAAGATTATATAATAATTAATAAGATTTTTCTTTTTCATCGCATTATATATAAAGTATTGCAAACTCTCTTATTTACTGGCGATAATTGCAATAATTTATCGAATTTTTATATATTTCCTTATTCTTATTAAATTATATTTTATTATTTTTCTGTTTGGTTTTTTTGATTTTTAGAATTTTTGAATTTTTTGATCAATGAAGTATATTTTTTCTGAAATGTTTCTTCTACAAATGTTGGGGGATATTAATACTTTTTCAGTTATAAAAACTACGATAAAGTTTAAAAAACTCAATATATTTTTAAAAAAGTTAATAAAATTTTTATTCAAATACAACAAAATTTGTTTAGCGATATACGAGATTTAAAGATAATTCATATTAAATTAAATGTTGCAAAATTATTATTCGGAGAAAGATATATCAAATCACCAGAGCGATCCACAAAATTTCCCTAGATAATCCGTCCTGCAAAGACATAAATCCCACGCACGCATTAATGAAAAAAACTGCGCATTAAATAATAATGTTCCGAAATGGAAATAAAAATATAGTGGAAGCGCAATATATATAATATATATACATTCGTATATGTTACAAGTGAAGCATGTGATCGGACATTGATAATAAATAAGCGTTTCCGTCAGCACGTTTATCTTGTTTTTGCGACTCAGACTTTCCTCACTTTCGTATTCCGGCAATCGCGATGTGTGATTCAATTTGATGCGATAACATGATCTCGAAGTATCCCTCTCTCTTGTGTGTGTGTGTGTGTGTGTGTCTGTGTGTGTGTACACGTGTATTTTTCCACACTCTCTCTCTGGGGTATTTCGATGGTGGCCTTTTCGTCCTAAAAGGCAAAAAATTTGCGCAAAATGTATTTTAAGCGAAAATGAATAAAAAATGAATGTGTTGCCCCATATTATCTCGAATTTTCCGAGAATATATTATACGTATGTATGATACGCATCAATTGATCAATAATCCTGAAACACTTTGGCAGGATCCATGTAGAAAAAAAAGCGTTTGGAAAAAAAATCGAATGTAAAAAGATTTAATGAGAACACGGTACATCTCTCTCATAACGCGAGACGAGATTGTAATAATTAGCAATTAATTTTCGCTCGGCCGCAGATTCTCCAGAGATAGGAAGAATCAGAAATATATGGAGAAAGTACTTTTAATGGCGTGGTATATCTTGCGACTGCATAACGTTACTTTTGCGTAATTTTATTCGCCAGATACGCAGATGAAGTTTTTTGAACTTCGGACACGAAAAGGAGCAGAGTTCGCAGAAATACAATAATAATATTCAAAAGAGAGTGGAGTTGGAATTACAAATGGGAATCCTAGCTCAGGCGAAGGAAACTTCGGCTGACGTTTCCGTCGTCAATTTCAATATTATGTGGATTGTCACGTTATATATATTATCGGTTTGCGGTCGCCACGTTATTTTTAACGTTACATTTCACAAAAATCGTCCCGAGTGTAAGTGACAGGTCACTTGACAGCCAACCCTGTAATTGCATCTCAAGATTCGTGTGAGCTGTTTTTACATTAATGTAATTATATTATTAAATAATATTTCATAAATATATATTATATTATATCATTAAATAATATTTAATAAATGTATTATATTATATATTATTGAATATATATATATATTTTATATATTATATAATATCATTACATTATAAAATATAAAATAATAAATATATGATATCAATATAAAATAAATTATATTACATTATTAAATATAATATTATTGAATAATATTAATAATACAATAAATCGCTGATCAAAACCAGCAAATACGATTGATGGCACAAACAATGAGAGGCTCAATTACATACATCAGCTGATCTGATGTTCCACAAAATCTACTCGAGAATCGTATATCAGATCGAATAAAACAATTCATACAAATCTTCCTTGTCGTGTTATCCACAACGCATCTACCATCAACTCGCGAAGTTTAGTTCAAGAGAGTTACCATGAAAAATAGCGCTTTTATCTAATCCACGCTGTTGATCACGTCACTCTTTCCCCACCTACATTTGACGCTCTTCTCCCTTTCCTCTTCTTCATCCATCCCCACAGTTTCCCGCTCATTTACCTAGTACGTTCCCTATTTTTCACCACTCTATTTTCCCTCTTTCGGTTTTCTCTGCGTAAGCGTCTCCTCTCTTTTTCTCGCGCTCATTCTCTCTCTCGTTCGCATTGCGCTTTTCAATTTGCATGGCTCTCTTTCTTTTTTTTCATCTTTTTACTTCCTTCATCCTCTCGCTACTTCATCGCAGCTCCTGGGTCCAGGAGACGTGCGTAAAGCGAAATTCCACGGCACGGAGGTTCGAGCAATTAACGGAACAGGTAATTTATCAGACGGTAACGCTCGGTTCTCCTGAATACTGCCGGAAGTAAAGAAGATGTCATTATTCATGCACGCCAGCCGTAATCTTAATAACGGCTTTAGCCGCTGATTAGACGAAGCCTTCGTTCGCCCCTTTTTTTCTTGTCTTCTCTCTCGCGACTCCAACCTGTCACAGACGATCGATATTCAATCACGTATCCCAATCACGTGTCGATCACGTTATCGCGATCCCCAACACTTTGGAGCCCTTTTACTGTGATGAAATCGTTTATAGATATTTTATTGTATTTATTAACTAAATGTTGCAATAAGGAGCAGAAAGGTCCGTGTAGTATTATTCTCATCAAACATTGATGTCGATTTTCTACTCCATATACTATATTTTTATTGTACGAGTACACACACACATACAGAGATTTATATAAATGTACAATAAAGCGCTTTCGCAACGAAAATTCAATAAAATATTTAAGTGAAAGTAAATCCAAAATATGTTGGGCTAAATTTTTGTTGACCAAAAATTAATATTTCAGAAAAATCTTTCCTCGTTTTTCATCCCCCAAGGATAAAAATCGAAAATAAGTATCTCAGTTATAAATGTACAATAAAGCGCTTTCGCAATCAAAATTTAATAAAATATTTAAGTGAAAGTAAATCCAAAATATGTTGGGCTAAATTTTTGTTGACCAAAAATTAATATTTCAGAAAAAATCTTTCCTCGTTTTTCATCCCCCAAGGATAAAAATCGAAAATAAGTATCTCAGTTTTGTTAACGAGACAATTATTATTTTCAATAATCTGTAAATTTCGGAAATAACTGTCAGAATAACATTATATAACATCTCTTAGGAAGTCTGATGTAGATATATACAGTGAAATAATTTTCAGCTCTTATAGCCTACGTCATCTATTATTTGATACCATCCATTAGCCTTACACTTCAAGGTAAATGAATATTTTTAACCGAGACATACGTTCACATATTCTCAGTTAAAAATAAAACATTGCTTGCTGCTTAAAATTCAAAACCATTATAATATACAAAACCATTATAATATATAGCTGTGCACTATTGTTATTTGTATTTACTTACATACTTTTGTTTTCTTCGAAAAATTTATTTATATTACTTATATTTATTTTCATTAACAAACATACAGCGATTAAATTTAAATTAAATCTAAATTTGTCTACGAAGGAAGCTACAAAAATATATAACAGCCACGTAGTCTATATTTTTGAATATATAATATCTGCATGTAGCATTAAATGTAAAATCAATAGCGTGATCTTTACAACTTGAATTATCTTGAAATATATTGTTTTTGGCACAAAGCAGTCAATACACTAATGACAAAGCATTGCATTATTTGTTACAGAGAACTAGCACCAATGTATGGGGTGAATGGATGGGTGTAATGCATGGCGACGAGGTCGAATATGTCTTCGGGCATCCCCTTAACCAATCTCTGGTATACAACGACAAAGAGAGAGACCTGGCTTTCAGAATAATTCGCTATTATTCGCAATTCGCATATACAGGGTAAGTACACTGCACCGCAAGTCCCGTTAAATTCCACATATTGTCTGACGTGATCCAACACGTGTAAAGTATCAGAATGCGAAGAATGTTTCTGCGCTCTCGATATTTCTATTTAATTCTGTTTTAAATTACTAATTTCAAGTTTTTTGAAAAATATTATTAAAACTTCTCTTCGCATTATAAAAATTACATTTATTTCTTTATTTGTAACTTTTTATTTGATAAATATCTTACTGAAAAAATTATTAAATTAATAAATATTTGTTTCAATACTGCGGCGAATAAATAATTTATTTCAGACAAAAAATATTTATATAAATTTAAAACAATTTAGCTCGTATAGTTTCAAAACATAATCAAATAATCTAAATAAAGGCTAACTATAAACGAGTTACAATGATTAGATTGTTAATACATTCATTATTACGAATTAAAATTTAAATAAAATTATAACTCGTTTATAGTTAGCCTTTATTTAGATTATTTGATTATGTTTTGAAATTATACGAGCTAAATTGTTTTAAATTTATATAAATATTTTTAATAAATAAAATTTTAATCTGTAACTGTAATAATAAATGTATTAACAACTTAATCATTATAGCTCGTTTATAGTTGGCCTTTATTTAGATTATTTGAATTATGTTTTGAAATAAATATTTTTCAAATTAATATTATTAGTTTCAAATAAATGATTTATTTGGCAATATTGAAATAATGATTTATTTGGCAATATTGAAATAAATACTTATTCGAATTCAATAAATTTTTTTAAAGCTTGTATAAACTTAGAAGAAACTAATTTTTGAAAATGTCGAAATTAATTCATTTTGTTCTATTATGATAATTAGTGCTAATTAATCGATTTTTTATATATTATTACGTAATTATTTTAACGTTATAATATAATTTTAAATTATTATAAATATAATAATTTTTCTCGTTATGAAAAATGGCGAACAGATGCGAAAGAACCTTCTGACGATGCACGTCTGTATATCTACAAATCAGATATCAACTTCCACATATGTTTGATATCTGGAAATACTGATGTTATAGACATTCGATAAAGTTTAATGCGAAGGTTAGCAATATTTCTAACAAAGTCACTATCACATGTGATACATGTTATAAAAGACATATGGAGAGAACATCGGAATCAATTTTGTCAAGGGCAATGTCTATGTCGCCTCATTGACTGCTACTTATACGAACTGAAGACCACAAATCATACAAATGTATAAATTATCTAACTTTACGACACAATATTCGATAGACTTAAATATCGATTCGGCATTATACAAGTTAGGGAGAAATTTTGACGAATATACATTTATGTATACACTAGATATTTTACTTAAAATAAAGAGAGAATTTTTTTCTTGTCAAAAATTTTGTTTATATGCATTAATTTCTATCTGTATGCGTTTTTGCATACTTTGCTTAATTATAAAAATATTAAAATAATTAATAACTATAATAACTAAAATAACTAATAAATTTTTATAAATCCTTAATAATGATCAAGCATTAAATTTTATAACTAAATTTTCGCTCAATTATATTTTATATAAAGTATGTTCATAAATATTGACTTATTATAAAAAGAATTTTATAAATATTTAAATACATTATTTAAATATTTACTAGAACTAGAGTTCCAATTTCGAGCCAATTCCTTATAAAATATTTCGGTAAAAACCTGATATGGTAGTCTATTACTATTAAAGCCACATAATTTTAAAAATGTATGTGTGTTACTTAAGATAGAAAATTTAAGACTTTCAAAAAATGTCTTTTAATTTTTATGTAACATATATTGATTTGGCCATATATTTATCAAGTATTTAAGATTGACAATTTTTAGATGTTTTCTTAATTTTCTTCTCATTCAATCCGTGAAAAATTATAAGAATAAACTCTAGTACAAATCATTAAATAATTAAAAACAAAAGTTACTAATTTACCTATATTACTATATATATAAACAAGTTATTATATATAAAATATTTTAATAAAAAATAACATATAATTGATGAATAATATTATTCACACAAATTAATATTTTATCGTTTGTGCACAAATATTTAATAAATTTTACACGAATATACGCATGTGAAATAGAAGTTAGACATTTAAATAACATTAATAAAGTATTAGAAATTTGCATGCGCTACGTAGAAATGTTCAATGCGTATGTAGGTACATACAATAATATGTAAATGTAAATAGTGTATTATAAATGCACTAACACGTATGCGAATAAGTTCGCTGACATATGAAACAAAGTTAATTTAAATTTAAATTATAACTACGAGAAAGAATAAGTTTTACATTAAAAATTAGTTGATATATTCGCATTCAAACCAAAAGATCCAAGTGTTAACACATGAAAATTTGTTAATATTACGTACAGACAATAACACGACAGAAAAATTTTCCTCAAAAGAAAATAAAACATAAAAAATGGAACTTAAAATAAACAATTTAATGAACATTTGTATTCATTGGATTGCTATAAAAATGTAGTAATCCATTTCTAATTTCACAGTTTTCCTCGCCGTTACATTTTAGATTTTAATATCAATTTCCAAGGCAAAATATATTGTATATATCTCCATATTTTAACTAAAATACGAGAAATATCGATTATATTCAGTTAGCAATTATCAAAAGAAAATTTATTCGAAAATATTATATAATATTAAGAATAAGACGATTATTTTTAATTTAATAATTTGTAAAAAATTCTACTATTTTTTTTTATACTAAATTTCTTTAAGAACTTATTAAATAAAAATTATTAGATAAAAATTATCCAAGTGGAAAAAGTAAACTGATTAATAATGCCTGAATTCTCAATTAAAAAGAGATCATAAATTCATCAAGCTTTTAATCCTATTTCCTGCTTTTGAATATGCGTAAAATTAAATATGAAAATTATCTATCTGTAGACTTGTTCTATTTAATACAGAATTTTATATTACATATTTAATTAAATATATTTAGCATTGAATTGCACACTTAATTACTTTTATTTTTTAATAAGATGATAGAACCGCAATAAATTAGTTTAATTATAAAAAGCTTAGTGAAGTTTAACTCTTCTTGTGTATTGTAATTGAATTTTTATGCATAGGGCACGCTTCCATTTATTAACTTTGAATAAAAAAAAGAGCAGTTTCCTGTTCTGTCGCCACGATGAATTTATCGAGATTTAAAGTTATTATGACATATCGTGCTCTATGTGCTAGGTAGTATACGCCTTTTATTTCTTTCCACATACGATCGACGTATTGCCTTTATATATGATATTGATTTGAGTCTCTTTTTATTATAATATAGCGTAAAAGTAAAAACACATTGGACAAAAAACATATAAAACATAATGAATTTATTATTCTTAATATTTCAAATTCCAGAAATCGATATAAAGCAATCGATGTAAATAAAAAATGAAGAAAATTCGAAAATAGAAATTATAGATTCTTCTTTAAATATATATATACACATATATTATAATAATATCTATAATCACACCTACTTATTGATAAATATTTTACAACTATTTTTGCACAGTTTACTTTTAAACGTGGAAATAACTGGAAAGAATCTATTTACTTTCCTGAAGCGAGAGCTTGACAGAAAGTTCACTTAAAGCATATTCTCAGACCCGCAAAACGCTTTCTACAAAAATACCGTAGAGAAAACATTTGGTGTATATTTATATAAAATAATAAGGCAATCTTTTGCAAATATTACTAGACAGAAAATGTAAGCAGTTTTCCTATTTAATTCGCGACGAACGCATATATATACATATATATATATTTGCGCGAAGATTCCGAGCAAACAGCCGTGCTCTTCTTTCATCGGAGACAGATTCCATTCCGTTTGACGTCTGAAGACGGTTCTGCATCTGACTCGCCTCTTTCGCGTTTCTTCTGATTCTCCATCGTTCATTTCGCACGTCTTCGCTTCTTTTCCTCCCTTTTTCCGATAGCTCGTACTCGAGCGCGATTCACAAGTGATTTGCAAGTGACGCAATCAACCGAAAGAGAGAGCCAACCTTACCTTTCCTCTTTGAATTATTTTTCAGGTTGCCCACGGTGGATGAGTCCGATTGGCTGCCGTACACCAGGGATTCCCCGCAATATTTTATTTTGAACGCGGAGAAAAAGGGCTACGGCCAGGGTCCACGTACGACGGCCTGCGCATTTTGGAACGACTTCCTGCCGCGACTGAAGGGGATTCCCGGTAGGTCCTAATAACGTGATATATGCATAATGGGGAAAAGAAAATCGCCGGTGATTCGAGAGACGGTAATTAGTTCGCGAGACTCACAGGGCGTTTCTAACGAGTAATCGCGCTCGTGGAACAATACCACTCGAAAATTTCTATATGCAGGGCCCGCAATAGTCTTTGATGCGCTCGTTATGATAATAGTGTTGTCGACGATACTAATTACGCTAATCGTACAAAGCACGCTAATCACACAATCGCAATCTCTCGATTCGTTGTGTTCCATGAACGCATTTAGAACTGCCCTTTAATGACATGGTAAATTATAAATCATTAAATTAGCTATAATTGATAACATCGTCATCTTTAAATTTGTTTAGAATTTATTATCAAGTAAAAAGAATTAGAAAAATTAATAAAGTCAAGAGAATTAGAAAAATTAATTTTTTTGTATCAGAGAGCGAGAGAGAGAGAAAGAAGGGAAAGAAGAAAGAAAGAAAAGGCAGTTTCATGAATGCATTTAGAACTGCCCTTTAATGATATGGTAAATTATAAATCATTAAATTAGCTATAATTGATAACATCATCATCTTCAAATTTGTTTAGAATTTATGATAAAGTAAAAAGAATTAGAAAAATTAATTAAGTAAAAAAAATTAATAAAGTCAAGAGAATTAGAAAAATGAATTTTTTTGTATCAGAGAGCGAGAGAGAGAGAAGAAGGGAAAGAAGAAAGAAAGAAAAGGCAGTTTCATGAACGCATTTAGAACTGCCCTTTAATGATATAGTGAATTATAAATTATTCAATTTTTTTGGAATATTATTTAACTATAATTGATAACATAATCATCGCCAAATTTTTTATAACTTACCGTAAAATAAAAAAATTAGAAAAATTAATTTTTTTATTAGAGAACGAGAGAGAGAGAGAGAGAGAGAGAGAGAAAGAGAGAAAGAAGGTAGCGAAAAAAGAGAAAATAAATCATAAATCATATTCAATTTGTTTTGGAATATTATTTATCTATAATTGATAACATAATCATACTTAAATTCTTTTATAATTTATTATAAAATAAAAAGAATTAGAAAAGTTATTTTTTTTATCAAAGAGAAAGAGAGAGAAAGAAAAGACAGTCCATGATAATCAGCGTCCTACTTACTAAAATGTTCGCAAACGTGCAATTGTCACGTGAATAGGGTGTTATTTTAATCTGATGTAATATACCTACTTACTTATCTCGAGTAGTAATAAATTATCTTAATTGCAATATCTTAACAATCACAAAAAAACAAATGCTTTGAAATACATTAGGGATATATAGAGATCTAAATATATAAAATCTATGATAAAATAATGAGATTAGTTCTGTGAAAGAGATTTCTGTACTAACCTTCCTCTCTCATTACGACTTAATATCTCAACTGGAATCAGCTTCTATCTCCCTCTCTTCTTTGTTTGTTGTTAAAAGTATTTATTTTTTATTTTAATAATTATTTCTTTTTTGCAATAACGAAAAAATCGATTAAAAATATATTATAATAATTTCCTAAAGAAATATCCAAGAGTTTTGATATTTCGAAAAGATTATTGATTTTTATAGAATTTTTATCAAGTATAATATGTCTTGTAAACTAAATAACTTCTTTAAATTAAAAAATTACATAAATACATATTTACTTAATTTACATCAGAGCCGAAAAAACACTTCACTGCTAGAGAAATTCATTTTATATTAACTCAATAAGTATTCAAATATTTTTTATTATAAAAGTGTATATTAAATTTAAGTATAACGGAATTACTAAATTTTTACGTGAGAATAAAAGAAACGCAAATATACTATATTAATAATGAGATCTCAAAATAATGCATTTCCGAATATTTTGTCAAAAAAAAAGATTTCTTTTTAATTACTTTTGTATAAGAAATATATAATAATATTGGTCATAAGACCTTCGTAGATCGAAAATTGCATACGAGATATACACATATACATATTTTCAATACCATTAGAGTCATTGATGATCTCATATGATAAATATTATAGAATTAATTATACATAAAATATGATAAATAATTTAATATAATACCATTTGTTAGACACTAATGGTAGATAATAATAATATTGTATCAAATTACATATTATATATCATATATTGAGATGAAAAGACAATATTAATATTTCAGCGAAAAAGAAGATCAAAGCAAATTCGCAGAATTGCCATATTCAAATATTCCCGGCGCTCTATTAGTCATGTAAATATTTTATGTTAGCAATATGTATGATGGTACATGGTACTAAAAGCGAATTCAAATTCCGTCAATATATTTTGAGTTTCTGCGCAACAGTACATGAAATCGCACATCCGCATGAGGGAATGTAATTTTGATTATGGATAATTATAATTTTTATACATATATATATATATATATATATATACACATATAATTTATATATATTATATAATTTTATAATACATAATATATTGATATAAATATATATAAATATATACATATAAATATATATAAATATATATATTAATATAAATATATAAATATATATAACATGTATAATTTATATATATACATTTATATATAATATATATTCATGTAATAATATACATTTATATAAAATAATATAACATGTAATTCTGCCGAATTGTGCTACGATCTTAATTCGAGTCTTTATTATATATGAAAAATAATTTAGTTGTTATTCAATCAATAGTAACCTGCTTTTCAATGCTGACTACTTCATTATGCCAGCGATTGACATTGCACTATGAGCGAGAGTTTTGCGCATTGGGGAGAATCCAATAGTCGCAACTCTGGCCAGTTATTATTGCAAATAATTTTGATGTTTCTGTTTATGTATTCGGAATATATCGGATTAAACAGCAGCGATTGTTTGCGAAACGAAGCAAGCGATTGTACATACACGTATTCATTTCCAATAGTTCTCCTTTCAATGCTGCAACGCGTGATAATGGAAAATCATGTGTAATTGAAAGTTTCCGCTTATATAATAATGTTATAATGATTGTACTTGCAGAAAATATATTGCAAATGACTTAATCATATTACGCAAAATTTTCGATGCATGCTAAGTATCACTATGGTATATAGGTATGACTTTTGTAATAATAAAACATGTTATCTATAAACATGTTACCTATTTTCACTTCAAACTTTAACATATACACATATCGATTTATTTAGAAAATTATACGTAATAAATTTTTAAAATTTTATTTAATTTAATTATCATTTACATGAAAAAATCTTTTAAATAGAAAATAATATTTTTATCAATTAATGTTTTTTGTTGTTAAATTTAATAATTATTTTTCTAGAATCATAAATGCTACCTCGAGTGTGACCTCATTTGTCATTTAGATGTAATATTATGTACAGATCTATAAATATTTGATAAAAACATTCAAGCAGTCACAAGATATGTTCTAAAAACTTAGATTTATTACGTAATTTTATAAATATTTTAAAATACTAACACAACACATACACATTAAAAACTATTATTTTACACATTATAATTAGATTGAAATAGCCCTTGTTTGGGCTTTGTATCAAATTAAAAATGCGAAGATATTAAATATCTCAGGTATTAAATATCTAACTAATGGGATATAGACTATATTAAGAACCAGGCGCGATAGATATCTCTGGTATTAAATATCTAACTAATGGGAAATAGGCTATATTGAGAGTTTATTAATTCTATACTTAATAATATTTAATAATATTTAAAATTTTCAATACTTTTTTCAAAGAATTTAAAAATTTCTTTTTTTCAAATAATATTTGAAACAATTCAACTCTTCATATGAATTATTTGAAAACTTTTAAAACAAATGTCAATTTACAGAACATCTTAATTTATTTTTTCTAATTATATACTGTGAGAAAAATAGAAAGATATAAAATTGAAATAGAGATACAAGAATAGCATGATATACAGAACAAATGTGATATTATAATAAAAGCTATTTAGATGTCAATTTGTCAAAGAAAGAGAAACTTTCAAGCTTCAAGAACTCAATGCAAGTCCATTTAGCATATAAACGAACAACGAAATGCACCAACTATGAACTTCTGATGAATAAATCAACTAAAACAGACCAAGTTTATATCAGTTCTGAGAAAGTGCAATACACGTAATTACTGAAAAAATAAAAATTTGTCAATTTAAGAGATCTACGTCAGTTTTGACGTTTGCCTTTCTTCTACATAAAATATCCTATGCTTTTCATTTATTGAATCTTTAATTAAGAGAGCACCAAAAATAGTCCTATATTCATGAATTTTTTCTCAGAAAGTATTAGGATTATCAAAATGGGGTTTTTACCAATCTATTATATATATATATATATATATATATATATATATATATAGTTGGGACTTTTTAAACATCTTATTTTTTTAACAGCTAAAACGATCGGTATTTTAAACAAAAAATTTGTTTTTATATTTAAATAAGTGCCATTTGACAAATATTGCAAATTTTAAAAATTTGCTACGACGAAGACTTGATTTATCTGTATATTTTAAGAATCACAAATTGAGTTTTTTGTTTCAGATAAACCATATATTGTATATAGATTGCATAAAATTATTATTGCGATGCATGCATAGAATATATCTATTAATTACGTGATTCATCAAAATTCAATATATAAATTTTAACAGAAAAAAATAAAATTTTTTACAAGAATTTTTGTGATTAAATATCTATGTTTTCATTAAACTCGCGCGAGACTTCATACCCCATACATCCGTCACGTTGCGCGGTTCGCGCGAAACTGATTTTCGTGCGGGGTATCGCGAGCGCGGGCCCGATAGTCACGTGAACATTGGTCATGTGACCACTGGTCATGTGACCATTGGTCACGTGACTATCGGGCCCGCGCTCGCGATACCCCGCACGAAAATCAGTTTCGCGCGAACCGCGCAACGTGACGGATGTATGGGGTATGAAGTCTCGCGCGAGTTTAATGAAAACATAGATAATTACAAAAAATTCTTGTAAAAAATTTTATTTCTTCGTTCATATTTTTTCTAAAAGATTTAAATATTGAATTTTTATGCGTTGCATAATTAATTAATATATTTTTATGCATCGATTGCAATAATAATTTTTGTATGCATGCTTTGCAATTTTTGAGATTTTATCATCAAAGAATAATATAACTTCGCTTTTTGCGTGCATAATTATATTCGGTTATTATCGAGTTATTATCAAGTTATTATAATGAATTTGATGGAATTATGGTAAATAATTTTATTTTATCCTACGTCTATGAATGCTATTAATATAACACATAATGTTAATCGAGATAACCAATCAGTATCACGGAAAACAGCAATATTTGCGATAATTGACTTTGCATGCCTTTTTTATAGAAAGGGAAATATTTACTAAATATACATATAATAGACCGGTAAAAATTTTGATAATCCCAATACTTTTTGAGAAAAAAATTCATGAATATAGGACTATTTTTCGATATCTCTGTGTAAATAAAATAAAATAAAATAAGAAAATTAATTTTTATATACTTGTAAAAGTCCTTACATCGCAATTTCTATGTATGGTGTATTTATTTATTGTGTCAAAGTATACTTGCGGATGTATTTGATTCCGATTGCCTACAGATTTCTCGTCTTTGTTCCTGTTCCAGATCCTACGCCTGAGGTGTGCAAAAGCGCGATGGCGTCTAGCGTTTCCGTGAGCGGTGTCGGCGGGCTGCGTGGTTCACCAATCGTGGCCCTCTTCTTACTTCCGGTGCTGGTGGTACATAGATTCATATAAGTGATTAATCATCCATGTCGACAAACCCTTTACACGGCTGGCAGGTACCCGGCTGGGCAGAAACACTCCATACTCTGGCGTCACCGTCCGACAAACAGGTCCTATATAACAAGCGTTGTTTACGCTTCAAGGTCGCATTAGCGGTCGTCAACCATTCGTAGATCGATAAGTCCGCCGTAGAGGACGTACGTACGGCTATCGTCGCATCGTATAGCAGTAGTCCGTTTTCACTGTGTCGTGTTACGTCACCGGCACCGGTTTAGTACAGCGCGACGTATTTGCGAATGATAATCAAGAGATGCCCCGAAGGGTTTCGCGCCCCCAACTCCCTTTCGAGATAATCGATCCGTAGGTCTAATCGCGCGAGGACGCGATTTAAGACGGATCCTCGAACGGAAACCGATCCGCGGCAAATGACGTCGCGTCTATAAATTAGAGATGTGCGAATTATTCGAATTCGAATCGACGTAGTTCGAAATCGAAAGATTCGATAACGTCGAATCACTGCAATTCGAATTCGAATCAAAGAACCGCGTGAGAAGACTTAAAATCCGTTTAATTCTATCGTTTAATTCTATACGCGTTGATTCGATTCGAATTTGAAATATGGGTAATTCGATTCGATTTGGCGATATTTTTGTCGATTCGATTCGAGTTGTTTTTTTTTTGCAAATTTGATTCGATTCGAATTAGAAAATCTTGATTCGCACATCTCTACTATAAATCGACGTCAGTATGTAACATCCGATTTTGACCATTTCCGAGTTGCGCTCCACGTTGTAAAAAAAATATGTAACATTACATAAAAATATGTAAAATTACATAAATAATAAATGTAAAAGTACCCGATAAATAATGAAGAGCTATACATTTTCATCATTTATCGTGTAATTTTACACTTATTATGTATGTAATATATTACATATTTTTTTACAGTGACACCTCCGTCTCGTGCAGCCGCGAACACGCCTGATTCTTTCTCTGATTCGCCCTCTCTTGCAAAAGCATCCGCTCTCACCGAGTCTCATCGATCTCTGGACTTGATCGATCTTGTAGATATTTGATTCTTACTACCGCGTTACAAAAATTCTCCCGCGAATTTAATATCGCGATTTCATGACAAATCTTTCTAATCGATCGCCCGAGCTCGGCACGGACGATGAATTTTCCAGAAGATGATGGATCGACCGGAAGTCGATGCCTGTGATTGAAGAAAAAAAAATTAAGGAACTGTGAATTGAATTAATTAAAAGGAGTTCTTAATATTGAATTTTAAGAAACTCATTTTGAACATTTTATTCGCGATCTGATTTGACTTGCAAAATATCAACTGCTGTATTTAGCTGCAAATTAGAAACGTGTCGCAATATATTTGATCTCTTAATTTGTGACATAAGCATTCACGTCTAGCAGGACTAAATTGTATATAGACCAAGACCAATTTCAGAGCACGTAAGCGAAGGAAGAGAAATGACGAAGACGATAAATAACGAACGCGTAGCTAAAGAAAATTAGCCGCCGTAGAAAGACGTGAATTATTAACTCCGAACTCATTAAATCGGAGAGCGACTAAGTAACGTCGATTTTTATCGCGTCAATTGCAAAGAGACGTCTTTAAAAAAAAAAACTTTGAGCACTCACTTTTAATAAGGAAGAGTTAAATTAAACCAGAGTTATAATGTGCAAAAATTTTCATACTCGCGAAATTAAATGCATTTATCCCGAATCGGAATTAAGATAGATTTTGTAATTCAGATAATTATGTCGATGGAATCGATATATATATATATATATATATATATATATATATATATATATTGCTAATACATATTAATACATCGACAGAACATAATTCTTTAACAAAGGAAGAGATTTGACGAATATTTCAATGAATATTTGAGATTGTTGGAAAAATGATCACGATATGTCATTAAAGATTTACAGTAATATAATTTTCATATCATGATACAGAGAAGAGAGAGTATTATGTAGAAAAATTTAGAATTAATTGATTATGTCATCAAAGAAAAGAAATACCTATTATAAGCGTACTCTGGCCTTTACATAATTAAAATGACCCCCTTAGATTATTACAATAAAGCCTAGAATAGATGATTCGATTAAAGCATTTATTAGCGGGTGATAATCTAGGACAGGGTAAAAAGAGACAGTAAAGCATCAATAAATCATTTGACACCAAATCAATCCTTAGAATATTAATAATAAGTGATAGACTTGAAGAGATCTAATAAATAAGGAATCTGTTAATTATAATAATCGCACAAACCATCAACGCTAATCATCTCTGCAATGAATCATTTATTTTAACAGTTGCCAAAGTAAACGAAAAAAAAAAGAAAAAGAAAATTGATCGATAAAATTACGAGATATAACCCAGATATAAAAGTTACATTTTCATCCAAGTGCTCAACGCAATTTTCCAAGAAATTTAACTTTTGCTCTTAATAATTTATTACGATATGAGTTGCCATAAAGTGAGCCGAGAGTGGAAGATTAATAAATTCCCATAGAAACCGCATAAGAGAGAGAGAAAATCGAGTAAGAGAGAAATAGTAAAACGTGCGAGATTAGCAGTGAGAGATCCATTGTTACCAAATTTTCAATTTCCAAGTCGTTAAAACATCTTGGGACCCATTTCAGGTAAAATATGTTCTACATTAAAAGTGTAAAATTATCATCCTCAACGTTTTATAGGGATTTATATATATTGTGTATATATATATATATATATATATATATATATATATATATATATAAAGCTGTTATATCTATTATATATGACATAATATATTATATATAAATTTTGCTCTTTATCATAATTCTATTATTCTATTAATTCTATTATATATGATATTATATATTATATATAAATTTTGCTCTTTACCATAAAAAATGATCGCGTCTCTATATAACAAAATAAGTTGTAAAAATCGAGTACTGGTGTACAAATTGAATTTTCCAGCAATTATGAGCATTTATTCATTAATCCAATTGGCGGAATCGAACGAGACATTCGTTCGTGAAGTATCGCGGAACAAAAGGAACGATACAGTAATATTCTTATCGAAGCGAATTACAATGATGTCATTATTCTCTCGTTTTTCACGAAAGACTGTCGCTTCTCTTGATGCTGCTGCCTCAGCGAAACGCTCTCTTTCGAGTCTCTCAACAGAATCAAAGATTCTGGGATGCCGAGATGAAGCGGACCACGTCGCGTTTCCGTGAAGCTTTTAAGGGTATCTTTCAGAAAGAGAGATGGATGGAGACGTGCATCCGAGCTGGTTTTCAAAGAGGCCAAACGAGATGAAGCTTATATAAAATAAAAAAAGAAGAAAGAAATGCACCCCGAAAGAGATGTACGTTATACTTGTTTACGCGAAATTATTGACGATTGTCCGTTTCGTCATCAGAAGGACGAAGCTCTAAAGAAGGTTGGCAAAAATGTCCGCCACGAATATACAGTACCCTCCATAAATTTGGAAACCTTACATTTTACAGTTAAAGAATTGCATGGCAGCGATCTTTTATAAATAATAATGTAGTTTAAATATTTTACGTTTATTTTATGATTTATTTATACAAAAAATCTGCACAGATCTGTCAAAAGGATCTTCTTAATTTAAGAGAAAAATTCTCTAAAGAAATATTTTATTTTTTTATCAGTGTATTATTTGAAATATTATTAATCGTGATAACAAAAAACAGTCTTATAAATGGACATTTGTTATTTATTGCATACTGTACCCTTCACAAGTTTGGAAACACTTTACATTTGACAGTTAAACAATCGCATGGCAGCGATCTGTCATAAATGTCAAAAATGTCATTTAAATATTCAACAATTTCTTGATACAAAAAATCTACACAGATCGCTGCCATACGATTGTTTAACTGTAAAATGTATGGTGTTTTTAAACTTATGGAGAGTACTATAGATACGGAATTTCCATCGCGGATCACGCGTTCCTTGTGATGTCAGATTTTGCGGCAAAATTCCCGGGGAAAATCTAATTTCGGGCATTTATTCGAGAAAAATTTCAATAGCGTTTGTCGCACAAGCGCTCGTCGATCATTTCGTCGATGTTGATATTACGACAGTAGCGACTTATCGAGGATGTCGGGAGAAAAGCGAGAAGGTGGAGAAGAAGGAAAGAGGATGGGAAAAATGGACCGGAAGAGCGAGAGAGGTGATTCGAAATCAATCGTTCAGTTTATCCATTTTATTGGCAAGCGAACTTCCCATCCGAGATAAGATCAGTGAAGGAGGTAAGTGATTCCCGATGCAAATGCGCCGTGAGGTTGAAGGTTACGGGCGCGTGAAAGCGCATTAAGGCTCCGAGTCTCGTATCTCCGCAATTTAACATTTTATTAGGACGTAACTGCTCCTTATCGCCGACGATACACAGTAGGATAATTTGTGTTTTCTTCTCCAAAATGGTCTACGTTCAAATTTTTCCCTTTAATATATCTAACACATTTGCGTGTTAATTTAACTTCAATGTTCAATTATTAAAACAACTGAAAGAAGATGTAAAAATAACAATATAACATTTTTCTGTTAAATATATTTAACACATTCACGTATTAATTTAACTTAAATGTTAAATTATTCAAACAACTGAAAGAAGATGTAAAAGTAACAGAATATGCATCTATTTTTAATTTTGCACAATAAATATGTTCCGTTTTATTAGTGACAAGATTTGTGTTTTCTTGTTAAAAATGGTCTACGTTCAAATTTTTCTGTTTAATATATTTAACACATTCGCGTGTTAATTTAACTTCAATGTTCAATTATTAAAACAACTGAAAGAAAATGTAAAAGTAACAATATAACATTTTTCTGTTAAATATATTTAACACATTCGCGTGTTAATTTAACTTCAATGTTCAATTATTAAAACAACTAAAAGAAGATGTAAAAATAACAATATAATATTTTTCTGTTAAATATTTAACACATTTACGTGTTAATTTAACTTAAATGTTAAATTAGTCAAACAACTAAAAGAAGATGTGAAAATAACACAATATCCATCTATTTTTAATTTTGCACACTAAATATGTTCTGTTTTATTAGTGACAAGATTTATCTATTAAAATTTACAGAAAAAATGTTGATTTTTTATTTTATAATACAAGTAGGGATAATAAAATCTATAATTAATATATTTGTTAGTTAATTTTTACATTAAAACTATATTAATATTTTACACAGAATTATTTTAAATTACTTGAAGTTTTGCATTTATTTTGTGTTAAAATATTAACCCAGTATTGTGCTTGTCTTCATTTAACATATCCATATGTTAAATTAACACAAAAATTTCTGTGAACTGTTTGCAATATGTGATATCTGTTAACACAAATTTTCTAACTGTGTGGAAATCTCGACAAAAAAAAGTAAAGTCGTAAATTTCGAAATAATACAAATATCGGAGTTGTTAGCGCCTTTTTATCGAGACTGCGTAAAATGCTTCTAAATTGAATATAAAGTTGTGAATGCTTATTTGTCACGCGATTGTATTACAAAAAATTGGCTAGAATTTAATTAAGGAGCTCTCATTGCGATGTACACCAGAAATATATGCAAGAGAGAATTTTTTGTTTATAATTAAAATTTAGTTAAACTGGTTGTGTGTGTGTGTATTGATCACTTTTCGCGAGCTTCTAATTAAAAATTCATCAATTTGACATGAAGAGTCTTATAATTTCCTCTCTTTTATTCGTGAAAAAAAAGAAAACAGAAATAATTTATTTTTATTATAAAAATGTAATTTTACTTGATAAAATGTT